GGAGGATGTCAGACCCAGGACAGTGAGGACACTGGAGGATGTCAGACTCAGGACAGTGAGGACACTGGTAGATGTCACACTCAGGACAGTGAGGACACTGGTGGATTTCAGACTCAGGACAGTGAGGAGATTTGTGTAGAGGTTGCTCAAAATACTGAAGATAAGACTACCATAAGATCTAGCTAATGGTACAACTGGATATACATCCAGAGCATCCCACATTCTATCAGACAGATACTTGTACGTTCATGTCTACTCTCCACTATTCACAACAGTAAGGAAAGAAACTATCCTAAACCTCCATCAACTGATGGCTAAAGAACATGTAGTACATATATACAGTGGAATTTTATTCAGCCATAAACAAAAATGATATCACATTTGCCAGAAAATATAGCTGAAAATTATTTAAGTAAAGCATCTCAAGCTCAAAAAGATAATTTTCACTGAATTAAAACACTCCATTCCCCAGAACAACTCCTTAAGACCTAGGAAGTGCTAAAGGAAGCTAACTTAACATCCAGGAAGTAAACAATTCACAAGTCAGGAAGTTCCTGAAACTTACTAGACTCAGAAGTTCCCCCTTCTCCTTATATAATCAGTAAACCCTGCTGAGGAGTGGAGAATTTGATCAGCAGAACTGTCAGCCAGTTAAGCAGATAGATCTGGTACTCCAGCTTTCATGAATCACCTCTGTGTTGGGGTGAGCTTTTTGTGATGCAGATGCCTCTGAGTCATTCATGCTACTGTAAGTAAACTTTTACCCACATTCTTGCAAATAACCCAAATAAACTCAATGGTTCACCAAGTTGGACTTTAGATATTAATACTTTGGTCTGTTATCAATTTTCTATCTGAGGTAAGCAGATATTTGTTCATGTCTTCCAGGGATAATGCTGTGCGACAGACAAATACTATATATTTTCTCTTGTTTGAGGATCATAGATTTTAGTTATTATATGTGAAGGGGGCAGAGTCAATAAAAGTAAAAGGGTGACCTTCACGGAGAGTAAGAGATTTAGAAGGGAGGGGGAAGAAGGTAACTGAATACATGTAATATAAAAGCAGAATAAGGGCCACTTGGGGCAGGAAAGGACTGGGCGGGGGGAGCTAGTGAGAGGTGGAAGGCAGAACAAGAAGGGACCAACAAAAAGAATACACAAAACACCATGATGGACTCTAAATAATATATGCTAATTTAAGCAAAACTGTCAAAGCAATACATTTAGTAAACACGGTGGTTTAAATAAGACTAGACTCCAGAGGCTCACATATTTGAATGTTTGGTTCCAAGCTGGTGGAACTGTTTAGGAAAGATTAAATGTGGCCTTCTTAGGAGACTCTCTTGTGGGAGAGTGGGCTTTAAAGGTTTCAAAAAACCCATGCGAGGCCCAGGTTCTCTCTCTGAGATCTCAGCTACTGCTGCAGTACCGTGCTTGCCTGCTTCCTGTCATAACGGTCATGGACTCACCCTCTAAACTGTGAGCAGGCTCCCAATTACATCCTTTCTTTTATATGTTGCCTTGGTCATGGCATCTCTTCAAGCAACAGAATACTAAGACGGTAAAGGTACATAATGAAACAACATAAAAATCAGTGCATTTCTATATACTAACAATAAGTAAGAAAAAAGAAAATACGAAAACAATTCCAATTCAAGAGCATCATAGAGAATTAATTAGGAATAAATTTAACACATGAAGTATGATATCTGTAGATTGAAGATGATGAGTATAAATTAACACTTGGGCTGGTGAGATGGGCTCAGCTGTTAAGAGCACTGACTGCTCTTTTAGAGGTTATGAGTTCAAATCCCAGCAACCACATGGTGGCTCACAACCATCTGTAATGAGATCTGATGCCCTCTTATGGGATGTATGAAGACAGCTACAGTGAACTTACATAAAAAAAAAAAGGGGGCTGGAGTGAGCGGGAGAAAGAAAGGGGGAAAAAATAAACTACCACTGTTTATCCATACATCCTACTTCCAGCAACCAATGAGGTCCCATCAAAGTACCTGCAATAGTCACTGCTCTGTTTCTGGGATAAAACACTATGACCCAAAGTGGCGAGCTTGCTTTGGCTTATGGTCCAGAGGGACAAGCACCCGTCGTGATGCACAGGGACGGCCACGGCGTAGGCATGCCGACAGGAGCAGGAAGTTAAGAGCTCACATTTCAAC